CCCCAAAACCCCAAAACCCCAAAACCCCAAAACCCCTACAGTTAGAATAAAATTTGAATAATATAAAAATTTGAATAATATTTAAATAATGAGTGCCGCAGACATTGATGACAGTGATATGATAGGAGCTGTTAAGATCAAAGATGGCCTTTTTATTGGTGATGGCATGGCTGCACAGGACCTAGAATTTGTGGTCGCTAATAAAGTAACACGCATAATAAATTGAGCTGGAAAAGAAATTCCAAATCATTGGGAACCTATTGGAATTGTGTACATGACCTTCTTTGGAGGTGATCAAGGTGAGTAACTTTGTATATGAAGATGTAAAACGCTCTTTAATTTGAAAGAAAGAAAATGAGCTAAACCCAACAGAAATAATATTTGGATTACTTTGGATTTCATAAATTCTGAAGGGATAAAATTTTAGAGGGAATTTGTTATTACAAATTGTTAATTTATGATTTTCAGAATAAAAATAATTTAACATCCAGATATAATATATTCATAGCTGGGATTTCTCATTAGAAACAAAACATGGTGATAACCAGACTATTATAGGCCCATGGCAAATGAAGAATACCGAAGAAATGGCTATAAACACAAGAGAAATCTATGATTTCATTGAGGACACTCTCAATAAATCAGAAAGTATCCTCGTTCATTCCGCCAGAGGGCAAAGCCGAGCTTCTACTGTGATCTCAATCTATCTAATGAAGAAGTATAGCTGGACTCTCCTGAAAACATTAGAGTTCCTGAACTCTAGGAGGCCAGACCTTGAGATCAGGTCAAGTTTTATTCAACAACTGAATTGCTTTGAGAATTATTTAATGAAGCTTAGTATGGGTCCTCGAACTCACGACTGGAATCAGATTACTGAAAATACATTTTATATCGAGAATGAAGAGCTGTTACTAAGAAATACATTTCTGAATGCCAAGATGGGCCCACTCGTCAATTATAATGATTACCATCAAGGGCATAATAAACCCAAAATAAAGAGAAGTCTTTTATGGGCAGATGAAAATAGGTACCCGCTTGCTTGTGAGAATTTGGATGAGGATGATCTAATTAATAAGATTTCTGTAGCTCCAATAGTTACACACCATCAGTATCATGCATCACAGTTAAAGTCTTCATTTTCTTCTGCTAAAGGTTTACCTTTCGGACCCAAGTATACAGGAGAAGGTAAAATTGACTTTTACTCCCAAAATAAGAAAGAAAATAATTTTGAAGAAGAGAAAGAAGATGCCCCTCTCTATGAAATAGACGTTAATTTGAGAGAGCCTCCAAGAAGAGGAGCTTCGAATGGAACTAGAGTTAATGATCTGAGCTCATACAATAAAAATCCTCATCCCCATCCTAAGAAACACTCAAAAGCTGAAGGTGCAGGACAACCGCAATACCAGAGAACAATTCTGGGACAAGCAGATATGAACTCTCAGCCGGCATACTCTGGAATGTCCCGATATATGAATCAGAAAGAGAATGATTCTTCATATATCGATTCAAAAACTACAAAAAGCACATCTTTTCATAAAGATGATTCACAGCAAGAAGAGGAGACTTTGAATAAGTCTATAAATGATCCTTCAGGCAAATATAAGAGTGGTCCCACCAAGTCTAAAGTTCCTGCAAGTGGTCTCCCTCATTCAATGGCTCATAAGAATAAGAACATGCATACTAAAATAAACAGAGGCATTTCTCCAAATCAACCTCCCGCAAGTATGAAGAATAAAGGCAGAACTACCACGAAAAATTACAATAATAGAATTGGAAAATATCCTGTTAAAGAGCAACCTGATGGTCAAAGAAGATCCAATTCTCTCAAGGTAAAGGAGAAGGATAGGATACAATATAATAAGCCTTCTCCTTCATCAAGAATGAACCAGAAATCAGGAGGATCCTTTTTAGCTCCGTCTGGAGCTTCCAGTAAGCCTGAGAGGCCAAGAAAGCCAAAAGGTTCCAGCTCTATTGGAAGCTCTAAGTCTGGATATAATAAACCTAATACAAATGCGTCAGGCTCTGGATCAAATGGACAGTACAATTATGGATCTAATTACGATAATAGAAACCCCGGGAATAGTAATTTCACTGCTAATCCAAGAATAAGGAAAACAAGTAATAATCCTTCTACTATAAACAATACAATGGCTAGCTTCCGGTCTGGGCCAGTTAAGGTGGTCGGGAAATCTACCAATGGAGGAAGAGATAAGCATCAAGAAGAGTCTCATAAAAGTAATCTAAATGAATCAAGAAAAGGACAAATGACTGACTTGAGAAAGAGCCACACAGGAGAGTACCGTAAAAATCATTCGAAAGATGGAAGCAAGAGGCCTTCAAGTGCTAGCAAAGCTACCAAATCTTCAAAAATAGTATCTAAAGTGCCAAATCGTCCTGGGACTGCTTCTACTAGATCTTCTTTGAATAGACCTCCTAGCCCAGGATCAAGGACTTTGAAATCAGACTTATTGTTTAGCTCTTACAAGTATAAATAGCAGTAAAATTGGTGGAGCTACTAAGAAATTGAGCAGCTCAAAGCAGACAAATAGTGTTAGTAAACTAAAGCAGCCGAATGGCTCAGGATCTAAATCTCGTACAAAGCCTCATTCTCCAGGGAGAGTTATGTATTCGAAGCAGCCGGGACAAACCTCTTCTACTAGCTATACTCAGTACCGAGGTCTTAGAGCCCCTCCAAGTGGGTCAAATAATTAACTTGAACTAAATTATTAATAAATTCCTCGTTTATCTGAACAATGATTTTCTGGGGTTTTGGGGTTTTGGGGTTTTGGGGTTTTGGGG